CTCTGGCCTGAGTGCTGCTCGCTGGAGGCAGTGCTGCCCATGAGGGCCCCAAGGCCTGTCTAAGCCTCTTCTCTTTGTAAGTGACCTGCTCTCTGTCTCTGGGAAGAGGCAGGACTTTCTCTGTTTATCCGAAATCCGTGTGCATCACAAAAAGGTGTCCCGTCCACATGCTTTCAAAACGTTTCAGGCAACTCTCCAGACTAGGACGTGGTTTCCTCTGTTTTCCGCCAAACCTCGATTTCTCAAGCTGGCCTCTGACACCGTGTCTCACCCCCTGCTGGATCGGTGGGGTTTCCTCCCCGAGACTCACCTGGAGGACCGGTGCCAACCTGCGGTGGGGTCACCCCCAAACGCCCCAGGGCACGCGCCTTCCGTGTGCCGACCGCACTTCGGCGGCCCTGTGCGTTCTGCTTGCGAAGCTGGACTGAGCTCTCACACCGCGAGCTGACATCTGACCTGAGCACCTGTCCCCCAGGTTCAAGGGCGCCACCCAACCGGCGAGGAGGCCTGGGATCGCCCCTGGGCACCTCCTCTCCGGTCTCACCTGAGGGGGCTCTGGGGTGGGCGGGTGAAGGGCTGCCAGGTCTTTCCCACCTGCCAGGCAGGCTGGAGACCCCGTATCGGCCGTGCTGGCCACCTCACTCCGACACTACTGGGCACAACAAGTGTCCTCCGAGCCGATTTCCCGGGACATCGCAGGCATCCCTCACCAGGCAGTGCCATGGATCCCCCCTCCCGTGCCTAAACCGCCAACTGCCCGATGTGCTTTCCAGGCACGAATCAGAGCCAGACTTCAGGGCGGGCCCGGTGCCCCTCACACACCCCTCACGTCAGCGGCCCCCGGGGCCCGTCCTGACCTCCGTACAGTGCTGCTCGGGGGCCCGAGAAGGGATTCGCACGGACGGGCCGGGCCCGGCCGGACCCGCCCAGGCGCTCTGCACACGTCGCCACCCGACGTGCCCCGCTCCTCCTCTGCAGCCAGCCCAGCACAAAGGGCCGGATACCCGCCTCCTCGGCGCCATCAGACGGCGGTCAGCGACGCACACGCCGTCACGGCTCTGCCGAGGGAAAAGCCACGCGCCCAGCCATCTCCAGTGTGTCCACACAGGTGGCGGCGAGACTCGTGTGTCACCGTGAGGTCTGCGGCACAGGCAGGTGTACCCCCGCCAGGGAAGCTCTAACCGCGTCTGAGAGCTGGGGCCTCATTCCCTGTGAGGGACCCGTGGGGAGGCGGCCAACGAGAGCGCCTGCTGTCTCCAGAAAAGGCCACCACGCCTTTCGGTTCTGAGCAGCGTGGAGCAGGAAGACTCGGAGCCCTGCCGCCACGAGTCAAAAAACCAAACCCAACAAGTTGCTAAAACCACATTTTCCAGACACCGGAAAGCTGTGGTGTGACAAGGCCCAGACGCCCTAAGGCCAAGGGAAGGGCAGTGGCCAAGTGGGCAGGCCATCTGTGTCCCGGGCTTAGCCGAGGGCTGCCCGCCCTCTGGGGGCCACACAGAGCCGGCACGGCCACCGACACATGAGAGCTCTATATGTGGGGCAGCCGTGACCCCACAGTCATTCGCTGAACCTGGGGGCGGCACAGAGGCTGCAGAGCGGCAGAAAGGCTGAGCGCTGAGCCATATTCTCGGGGGAGGGGCCCGCCTCTGTACAGCGGCCCGTCCTCCACACCTCCGCCAACCCCAGGAGCAACACAGGCAGGAGACAAGAAAGGAAAGCCAGGGCGCGGACTAGCCACACAGGCGCCTTTCAGGAGGGGGAAATAAACCCTGGGTCCCCCACTGAGAACTTGGGGGGGGGGGTCTTCCCATCAGACCGACTTTTATTATCAGAGGACAGGGACAGCCCAGGTAGAGGCCGCCCCCAGCCTGCTCCATTTGCCTGGACTGAGAGCAAAATGAACTCCTTCTGGGGAACGGCAGAAATCTCACCTCCGGGTTCCTCTTATACCTAAAGTCAGACAGACAACAAAAAAAACTACAGGACGGGAAAAAGAGCAGGAAAACGTGAGTGAAAATCACGAAAAAGCTAATAGAAGCAGAGCCACAAATGACCCGATGTGCAAATGAGCAGACAAGGGCTTGAAGCAGCTGTTACAAAGAAAATCTGAATAACGTGACTGCAAACAGGGAGACTCTCCAAAGGGGAACTAAAATCTGTACAAAAAGGAATCAAAGCAGCTCGGTGAATGGAGAACGCCACGCACGACGAAAGACGCCCTGCTGGTCTCTGCCCACCCGGACCGACTCGCCTGACTGGGCCATATGTCAGCCAGCTCAAGGAGACTCACCAAGGCCGGCCCGCATCCCGCCTGGGCGGCCGTGGTTTTCTGGCCCAGCCTCAGGTGCCCCAGCAGACCTCCAGAACGCTGGCGCAAGCAGGAGCCCACGCGAAAGCTCCCCCGGTCACAGATGGAACAAACCCACCGAGCACGGGAGGAGACCCCCCGTGATGATGCTGAGAGAGGATGTACTGACATCTGTCAGCGAGATCTAGACTCCAGGAAACGCCGGGAGTCACACAGTCTGGGCTCTGCAGAAGGAAAGCTGTGAAGAAAGGAAAGGGACGGAGAAAAACTGACGCGTGAGAGAGACTACAGGGCTCGTCTAAAGGAGAAAAGGAAAAACCTTCCGTTTCTGACCAGGATATGACAACAGGCACCAAACGTGCCCCCCACCGTGAACAGGGAGAAAACCGGACGAAACACGCGACAGCTCTGCAGACGCTGACCGCGGGCAGCACAGGACGGCGGCCCGAGAGAAGGTAACCGAGGCGAGCCCTGCAATCGTGTCGGCTTCCTGCTGGAGGCACTTCCCACACTCCAGTCCACCGAGACGAAAACCAAACGCAGCATGGAGGTCTAGAACTGAGGGAAAAACCAAAGTTCCAGGAGGGCAAGGCTGCTGGCATTTGGTGGCAGGTTGCTAGAAAGGAGGAAGTAAGAGAATGTGCTCCCGAAATCTGCAGAGGGACCCCTTTAAGTTTTCAGCAAAAAACTAAGCTGTGCACAGGTGAGAGTCCCTGAGTCCTGGAAGAGGGTACAGGGCGGCTGGGAGCTGAACTCGCCAGAGCTCACACACAGGCTCGTCACACTCGCTCCACGCGGCCAGCAAGGAGAGGCCTCGCTAAACACAAACAGCATTCAGAAGAGAACCCAGAAGGGCTATACCTTAGCAGTACGGCTTAACCAACCCTACAGTAAGGCTACCCTAACCTAGGCGTTGGTGGTCTGTTTCTGTAAGTAAAGTTTTATTGAAACACAGCCACATATTTTCTGTGGATGCTTTTGATATAAAATAGCAGAACTGAGTGGTCACAGCAAAGACAACACGGCCTATAAGCTTAAAATGTTTACCATCTAGCCCTTTAAGAAGAGAGGGTTTTTGGAGCACCTGAGTGGCTCAGTCGGTTAAGCGTCCGACTTGGGTTCAGGTCATGATCTCACGGTTCATGGGTTCAAGCCCCGCATCAGGCTCTGTGCTGACAGCTCAGAGCCTGGAGCCTGTTTCAGATTCTGTGTCTCCCTCTTTCTCTGCCCCTCCCCTGCTCGCACTCAGTGTCTCTCAAATAAAATAAACAAATAAACATTAAGAAAAACGGATTTTTTTTTTTTTTTTTTACAAAGGTTAAACATGTGCCTGCAAAGGATCAAGTTGAGCCACAGGTAATTAAACTATTGACCAAAAAATTGGAAAATAAATTCAATACCTGTTGAACGAAGACAACAAAATCTGGACACTCAACAACACACATTCACATTGTCTATCATCCCATAAAAAAAATCACTAGATGTGTGAAGAAGTAGGAAAATGTGACTT